AAATTCTCCCATTTTAATTTCACGCCCGAAAAAAAAAAAAAAAAAAAAAGAAAAGAAAAGAACTCGCCACTGTCAAAGTAGAAGCTTCAAGTTTTGCAAAGTGTGACCAGGTGGATCTTTTTACTGTGAAATTACATCAGTTTAAATTATCGACAGTCCATAAAAATATGAATTTTTATCGTTTGATTCGTTTGGTGAGAAATTCGTAGCAGCATCGAGTAACCTACTCGATTTCTCTCTCTCTCTCTCTCCGCGATGATGCACGTAGTCTGGTCTAATGGGGGCACACAAGTGGACTCACGAAACGGAAGCGAGTTAATGGCAATGGGACATTCTTTTTTTTTTTTTCTTTCTCTTTCATTTAATATTCCCTGTCTGCGCACGATGTATCATTTCTGCAACGCGAAATCCCTTCATTTTCCACGCAGTCGTCCCTCCGTAATTTTTAACTAGTCGGGAATTACACGCCGCGAGATTATTGGATTATCTTCTCCCTGCGACTGTGACAAAGTAAACTTTTTTTTTTCTTTTGATTCGCGAAAGGAAGGTGGCATTACTCGCGACTGCAGGTCAAGTCGATTGGTTCGAGCTTTTGAGAATTATCTGACATCTTTTCGCGCGTGCTCCGAAATATTCACGACAGAAATTTTCATATATTTCTACGTGTCTTTTTTTTTATAACATACTGAAAATACAATATAATATACATGTGTCTTTTATAATAATATACTGAAAATATAATATAATATACATGTATACTGAAAATATAATATAATATACATGTGTCTTTTTTTATAATATACTGAAAATATAATATAATATACATGTGTCTTTTTTTATAATATACTGTTCGTTTCAAGCTTGGAGAAATAAAATGATACTTTATACAATTAAAGTGTTAATGTTGAACTGTTGTAAAGTAAAGTGTAACTGTTGACAATTATATTGTAAAGTGTAAGAATTAGTTGAAAATTACATAGAGATTATTGGACTACATTCTTCCAGCGATCATAACGTTCTTTCACTTTCGACAGCTATTTTTCACTTTGCGAAAGGAAGATATTAGTTTCGAGTTTTCATGAATTATTTTATTAATATTAAAGAAAGTGAACAATTTCAGGTAAATTGTAAATTTATTCGTTTGAAAGTCCGAAGAAACGAAACTTTATACTTTACAGACTAAAGAACTAACAAAGTGTCGATAACAGTACATTATGTTACATTATAAAATAGACGAACAATTGAAACACTTCGTTATCTACGATAGGTAACGAATTATGAACGATGTGTAAAAACGTCTCGGACACTTTGAAGCGGCTGTGTACATACATACATACATACGTATTTTACATAATAGACTGTAACCTGTCCGACTTTTACTGTCACGATCCACTTGACAGAAACTTTCTTTATCGGTCGATGCGTGCCCACTTTCAACATTATCGACGGTTCGACTCGAGGCGTAAAGAATTTTAATACACGTATGTCTGCACTCCCCACATCGACGTTATTTGTCCCGACGCTATCGTTCCGTGCTGGCAAT